CCAATCTCACAGTCAGCCTATACCTAAGCACCTTTAGGATGAAAGCAAAGGAACCAGGCTTCAGAGCGGCCTCCCTTCCACTCAGCCTGTACAGCACTTCCTTCCGAAAGCCTGCTGAACTCAGCTGGGCTATCCTGGGGACCATCTTGTGAGGCACTCGAGGGAGGGAAGCTCAGATCCACTGGGAGGCCAGGCCAAGACTTGCACACACAGCAAAGGCGGGGTTTCTGCTGGAGACAGCAGCAGATAAACGGGCATGTTACGGGGCCCCGGCAAGGCAAGCTTTGAGAAAGGAAAGTTAACCTTTCTCAACTGTAGGGGATTGAGTCCACACATAATAACAAGCAGACAAGTTAATCTGTGTCCAGTGTCTCAATAAATAACTCCTGTGGTGCGGAGTCCAGTGAGGAAGAACATGAAAGGAAAGAAGGCTCCAGGCCTCAGTCAAGGAGCTAAAGAAAGCACACCAGAACAACCCCAAACCCGCTTGGACAAGCCATGTCTGTCAACCAGTCAGTATTTGTGGGACACAGCCTAGCTCTCCCGAGGCCACTTGGGTCAGTTCCACATGAAGACAGCCCCTGGAAGCAGTCCACTAGTTCTAACAGATGACTGCCCCACAGATCGGCACCAGAGAAGTCTGCCTTGACTCCTGAACACACTCTCCAGCTAGGCAGCCTCAAAGGCCTTCCTGTGGACTCAGGGAGTTTTTGTCCAACTAGTCTTCTAGAGATCCAGGAGCAGCAAAAATCCTCAGAGAAAGGCTGAACCTACCTCTTCATAGCCTCACTCTCACCACACCTGCCTGGCTACAAAGGAAAAGCCAAAGCTATAGGCTTCTGGCAAGTGCTTGGCAACTGAGGCTCAAATGTCTAATGCCCTTTTCTGGCTTCCAGGGCACTAGAGAAACCAGTGGTGCACAGACATACATGAAGGCAAAATACTCACGCATGTAAAATAAAAATACAGTTAAGAACACCAGGACAAGCCAAACAAAAGACCCTTTTGATACACCCACAGTAGGGGGAGAGGAACTGTGGTTAACCGGGGCATAGAGCAGACGAGCAGAAGATGGAGAGGAGCTGATCAATGGAAACTAAGTTCAAGAAACACCGAGGTGCAACTGTACGAGAGGACCTATAAACAAGAGTGAACTGCACTTTACAGGAAGCTAAAAGAAAGGATTTGGAGTGTTTCAACCATTAAAAAAAAAATTATAAATAAGCAGGGCATGGTGGCACACACCTTTAATCTCAGAACTCGGGAAGGCAGAGGCATGCGGATAGCTGAATTTGAAGCCTGCCTGGTCTATGGAGAGAGTTCCAGGACTGCCAGGACTACACAGGAAAACCCTGTCTTGAGACAAAAAAAAAGAAAGAAAAGAAAGAAAAGAGAAAGAAAAAAGGAAGAAAGAAAGAAAGAAAGGAAGGAAGGAAGGAAGGAAGGAAGGAAGGAAGGAAGGAAGAAAGAAAGAAAGAAAGAAAGAAAGGAAGGAAAAAAGACACCATGAGATCTCATGGCATAATTTTTGTATTTTTAGACTTTTAATGGGGTGGAGGCTGAGTACAATTCTCAGCATTCAAATATCACTATACGTGTGTGTGTGTGTGTGTGTGTGTGTGTGTGTGTGTGTGTGTGTGCGCGCGCACATGCTAATGTAGTGTGCAGATGTGGTGAGGTGAATTCCTTTACTGCTCGCCACCTTGAGATGGGGTCTCTCACGGAGCCCGTAGTTCACCATTCAGTAAGACCAAATAGCCAGTGAGCTCCAGGCATCTTCTTGTCTCCACCTGCCCAGTGCTAAAATTATAGGTGTGCAGCACCTTGTCCAGCTCTTTTTGTGGGTCCTGGGGAGCCAAACTCAGCTCCTCATGCTTGTATAGCAAGCAGGTTTGGTGAAAAACAATTGCTCTCATTCTGTTCCCTCTAGTGAATTTGAGGCAGGGAAAATGTGGGTGGAAATGGCCATACCACTCACTTGTTCTTCACCTTAGAATTACCAAGCAAGGCTGCTCCTACCGTCCCTGAGCAAGAGGAAGTGCCTGTCTCTATCCTCAACAAGCTGTGAGAAAAAAAGAAAGCTGCTGCTCGGAGGAGACACAGTAGGAACACATGAAAAAACAGACAACACGTGGTGAAGAACAGACTTGGGGTCACCAGGTGCATTTACCACCTGCACTGCTGAATTTCGCTGTCTGTATGTAAGAGGTAATAAGAATCCCTCACAGCGGGAAGGGGGTCTGGAGAGATGGCTCAGTGCTTAAGAGTGCTCGTTGCTGTCTCCAAAAAGCCCACTTCAGTTCCCACCACCCATATCAGACGCACAACTGCCTGTAACACCAGTTCTAGGGAATCCAACTCCCTCTTCTAGCCTCCACATGTGCCTACACATTCAAACACACACACACAATAACACTAATAATATCAGAAATCTTTTTTGTTTTTTTGAGAGAGGGTCTTTCTACATAACTCTGGCTGTCCTGGATCTAATTATGTAGACCAGGCTAGCCTCTTGAGTGCTGGGATTAAAGGCGTGTGCCATTACATGTAAGGCATTTTCTTAATTAGTTATTAATTAACCTGGGAAGCCCAGTATGTTGTGGATAGTACTACCACGGTCTGGTGGTCCTGAGTGTTATAGGAGGGCAGGCTGAGCAGGTCATGAGGAGCAAGTACTCCTCCATGGCCTCTGCTTCAGCTCCTGCCAAACAACCCCTTTCTTCCTCATGTGTTTTGGTCATGGCGTCTCATCACACAGCAGCTCCGCCTAAGACAGTGTCTGAGGATGACTGCGTACACGTGCGCCATGTCAAGAGTCTGGAGACCAGAGAACAAGAGTGGAGCTATTTCTCTGCTTCCACCTTTTACACGGGTTCCAGGGAATAAACTCAGATCATCATCAGGCCTGGGGCAAGTGCCTTTACCTACTAAACCATCTCACTGCCACTCCCAAAGTTGTTAAGAGCATTTTCTGCTCTTCCAGAGAAATGGAGTTAGTTCTCAGCACCACACCAGGTGGCTCACAACCACCTGTAACTACTGACTCAGCTCTAGGTCATCTGAGCTACAAAATGAGATCCTGACTCCCAAAACCAAAGGAAAAAATATACAGCATAGTTTCTTTACTGACTCACATATATATGTGTGTGTGTGTGTGTGTGTATATATATATATATATATATATATATACACACACCATTCTATCTCCACTGTAAATACTGTATGGTAAGGTCCCCACTCAGGCAAAATTTAATCTGTCCCTAGGGTTTCTGCTGATCCACTTGGAAGGCTATGAAAGCAAGAAAAGACACTACTTGCCATGTGTGAGGGAAGAGAGACCTGGCCTCTGAGCCTAACAAAAGAGGGAGAAAGACAGCCTGGGCCTGTGGGCAAAGAGTCAGTACAGTTAAGGGTTCCATCTCCATGGCTATGATGGCGCAGGCCTGTAATCCCAGCACTGGGGAGGCAGAGACATGAGTTTATCTGTGAGTTTGAGGACAGCCTGGTCTACAAAGTATGTCCAGTACAGCCAGGGCTACACAGAGAAACCCTGTCTTGAAAGAAAAACCCCAAAAAAGTTCAAACTCTGAACTCAGTCTAACTCAAGTTCCAGTTCTTTTATAACCTAGATGTGAGGCTTAAGCAATTCAATTTCCTCATCTATAAGACAGCAATAGCAAGGGAACCTGGAAACAGGGAGACCTTTGACACCATTATTATTCTATCTGGTGGTGGGTACTAAGCCTAGGACAGTTGAGAAAGTAGCAAGGCTCAGCCGGTGGTGCTGCTGCTGCTGGTGTCACTGAATGCCCATAATCCCAGGTGGACCTCTGTGAAGGTGATCTTAACTTTGTTTCCAGTTTGCTGTAGCTCTTCCTGTCTTCCATGCTGCTGTGTCAAGTTCCAGGCATGTCAGGGCTACATACTAAGAACTTGTCTCAAAACAACCAAAGATTATTTGAATGAAGGTGTAGCTCCATGACACCGTACTTGCTGGAGGACCTGGGTTTGACCCTGAAGGAGTCTGACCTGTGGAGCCAGACTGTCTTCATGTAAATCCTGGCTCTGAAGCAATTGGCCAGTCAATCAATCAATCAATCCTGGCCCTCACACTGCTGGGAATGACATTAATTAACTTACAGAAGCTCTTTATGTTTCTATGTCATTACTAGGTGGGGCAGATACTATCATCTACTAGTTTCACAATGTTATGCTGAAAATTAAATTCATTAATGACACATATGTATAAAATGACTGGAAGAGTAGCTGGTGCATAATCAGTGATTAAAAATGTTGGCTTTTATAATTATTCTAATTGTAATTTTGGAGAATTAAATACTAAGTTAATTATATTTCACTTGGCTTCAAAATGTGTTTTGGAATTAAAATGTATATTAGGTGATTATAAAGAGAAATCAGGGAGAAGAGTAAGAATATTTTAATTATTCTTTTATGTGTGTGGATGTTTTTGCTGCATATATGTCTGTGGATTAGTTGTGTGCCTATTGTTTGCAGAGGCCAGAAGAGGAAACTAGATCTGTTGGAACTGGAATTAAAAGATAGTTGTGAGCGGCCCTGTGGGTGCTGGGAATTGAACCTGGGTCCTCTGGAGGAGCAGCCAGTGCTCTTAACTTAAGCACTTGAGCCCTGGCTGAGCCACCTCTCTAGCCCTGAGAGGGAGTAAGATTTTAAAAGGCACAGGGCAGAGAATACAAGCAGATTAGAGCTAAACATGTGACGTGGACAATCCAAGCACAGATGAACTCAAGTTTGGCGGCACACATCTGCAACCCATCACTCAGGAGGCCGAGGTGGGAGGATGCAGAATTCCAGACCAGCCTAAGCAAGCCGCCCCTCCACCACAAGTTCAAGACCAGCTTTGGTCTACACAGTGAGTTCCACTGAAAAATGTCACTCTCAGAAAACCGACATTGTCACACGTGTCCAATAAACCTCAGAAGCAGGCGAGGGGTAAGGAAAGACAGGCGGCAGCCACTCACTCATGGACTCTGTTGTCGCCGTAGAGGTCGCTCAGGCCAAAGCTGATGTAATGCCAGTGCTCGGGGACGCTGGCGGAGGGGCTCCCCGTGTTCCTGTACATGCTAACGTAGTCCAAGGGGTCCGGGCCACCCAGCCTGCAAAAGACAGGGCATAGGCGTCAGCTTAAACCCAGAAACCAGAAAACATCAGGCAAGAGGCTCTGCTCAAAAACCCAAAAGCCCCATCCTAAAGGAACCTAAAGCAAAGATAACTAAAGGGATGAGCAAAGGGAAAGTAGCCGAGGCTTCGTGATTCCACAGGTTCAAGAGTTCCCTTCTCTTCCCTCCAAAAGACAGGGTCTCTTTTAGAAATAAAACAGACGTGGCGGTTGCCCGTTTCACCTTTGCCTGTTTCGAGTTGCTGACTCCAAATGGAGTCTTCTATGATAACCGTCAACATCCCAGCCTTCAAGGTAAGAGATGCATCAGTCAATCAATGGCATCTATTGAATGACTACCCAGAGCATGCCCAGTGGACATCATTCCTGGAAGTACTGGTTCCCTTCTGCATCTGTCTCTTAGATAGCAGGTTCCTGAAAGACTGTATTGTGCCTTCTATTATTTGTTTCTTCTGAATAGACACAAAGCTTCCAGTCCGCACAAATCCTGGCCTGCACTCTCCAGATCAAAACTCGGTCACACAGCAGCATGAGCCAGGCTGAGTCCTGGGAGCACCTGCATCCGAAACAGTACCCCAGGAGGCTCTTGTCTCAAAGGAAGAGCTGGGGCGTTGCCGGATTGTGGCTCCTGAGGTCACATTCAGTTCCCCCATAGACCCAAGAGAGAAGCAGTTGAGGAAGAGATTCAGGCATTACCTCACTGAAGGTTTAATTCAATAAAAGCTCTTTTTCACAGTTAGTGTTAAGCAAAGCAAGACAAAACAAACAACAACTAAAACCTGTTTTCTCTCAGAACGGACAGGGAAACACTGTCCATTGAAGCACAGAAGCCATCAGCAGAAGCCTGCACTGAGCCCTTAAACTGCGCATTCAGCTGCTTCCCATGGACCACTCTACGGACCAGAGTGTGCATTTGGCCTCTGCCTGCCCCTGGAACATGGACAGGAGTGCACTTTGCAAGTGGGCTGAACTCCTGAGGGAAAGCTAATGACCAAATAAAAGACATGGTACAGGAGATCCCAGCCAGGGTGCCAGGGCCATGCAATCCAAACCCTATTTTAAAACCAGTAAGTCTGGTTTCATCCTCTTTGCCAGGATGTTAGCCTTTGTAGAAATCCTTATTCTCTTGGGTGTGTGTGTGTGTGTGTGTGTGTGTGTGTGTGTGTGCGCTAATTTATTTATAGAAGTCACAAGAAAGAAAGTCACTACAAATAGCCTAGGATCTCACCCGAGTGAGTTAAGTAAGGGGACAAATGTCTGTCTTTAACTGTGATTTCACCAGATCATTTTACTAAACCCATAACCAGCTAGATTTAGAAACATCTGGGGGAAGGATAGAGGAAAGAAAAGGACCCCATCAAGGCTGCAGAATCCTAAGAAAGACTCCGTATTCTCTCCAAGTTCCTGCTGCAAATCCCCAACAGCCCTTGTTGCAGCCTAGGTCCGTCCAGCAACAAGCTATGACGCTGTGTGTGCTGACCCTGTTTACCTGGCAGCATGCTGCAGCTCCTTCAGTCTCCCAAGAGATCACATCAAGAAAAGGCTATAAGAAGAGTCAGGGCACGTTAGGCTCACACGCATGCTCAGAGTGTTCTCTTCTAGCATGCACACTCAGATGACTGTGGGAAATCATATTTTACACTTAAGAAAAGGTACAGTCCAAGGGCTCGGAGCGTGGGAAATCATATTTTACACTTAAGAAAAGGTACAGTCCAAGGGCTCGGAGCGTCCCCCACCTTAATTCCCTGAACACCTGACTTCTCTTTATGGGGCGGTTGCAGGACTGCAGTGGACCTAAGGGCACCAGGCTTTGCCTCCCTGCTCTGATCCTTGCCTTGCTTGAAAATCTCAACCATTGGCTGGAATACCCTTGCTGTCCAGGGACCACTAGTTAAAAGGCCAACCCTCAACCCATAACCAGACCCAAGCAGTTGATCCTAAGGATAAGGACTATGAAAAAACTTCAGTATCTCTATTCTGCAAACCCCTCTGAGTCCCCAAAAGAACCAGTCGCCAAGCTGTTCTCTCTTAGATTCCTGCATCCAGGCAGCATTTCTTATTTCACAAAGTGCTGTACACACCTTCTTGTTTGCTATCACATGCTGGTCTACCTCTGAGGGTACAGCCTCATGACAAGCCTTCAGTAGAAAGAAAAAAAAAATGCTGTAACTACTCTTGGTCCTTTGCATAATGCATCTATACCTTTAAACAACTCTGTCTTGATGGCCATGTAGGTAACCTGCCCTATTCTGAGCAGGGACTTCCCCTCATGATTAAACAAGATCAGAGCAAACAGCGTGGCAAGGCCAGCCTCATGTTTCTCATGACGTGGGATAAGTTCGTAAAATACAGAGCTAAATGAGTGATTAAGTTAGCAAGAGCTGCTTCCCACTCGGAAGTGCTCTTCAAAACTCTCTTCAGCCTGGAATGAGGTTGTCCTCCACAGGCGCACGGCCGGCATGCCTCCTGGCTCCCAGGCCCTCTGGGCTGTCAGCTTTCTTTGCATCATCCTCCCACTGACACAGGAACTTAGCTTCATCCCTGTGCAGCCTAACTGCCATCTCAGAGGCAAGGATGTCACACAGGAAAAAAGACTGAGCCTTAAGAGGGGTGTAACCAGCAAAGACAACCACTTTCCCCTTCAGGTCCACCCTTTGCAATACTCCAGCGATACCCAGGACCCTTCCAGGATCCACCGATCATCTTATACAGTGAGTGCCCGCACGAGTATGGCCATCTTATGGTCTATTTTTGGCCCAGACACACCATGAGGACTTGTCCCATAACACCTGTTTTGTCTAAAGGCTGACTGAAGAAATGGGTTGCAAACAGGAATCAGAAAGGGCCATTTCTACCCCCAAAATAGCCCATTTGGAAACTGATCCTTTACTGGGCAACTTTAAACAGCGGCTGAAATCCTGAAGACATGACAGGAAGCGTTTCTTCAGGCTGCACTTCATTCCTCCTGGCCACTCACGCCCTCACGTCTCCCCTCACGCCCTTCCCACCGTTAGTGTCAAGCTTCGATCCCCTTCAATCCCCGGCCAGAGCTTGGCTCTCCCGAAGCCTGTTCTTAACTAAAGTTCTAAAGCAAAAGCAGCTGCGAAGCCAGAAGCAAGCTCTGCAGAGAAAAAGCGAACTGTGCAGAGTAAGCAGAAAGTTTATCTGGAAGAGCTGCTCTGTCAAACTTCGAGAGCAACAGCTTCGCACTGAATGATAGCAGCTCCTGCACTCCGATGGAGCCTCATTCGCTCAGCAAAGGCACAATGCCCGCATCTTGCTCCCTCTAACCCACAGGGGCGTCCTGGCCCCCGGACCGCCCTAGACGACGCGGTCTCGTGCCCTCCAAAGCCCTCTCAAATGCTCTCCAGGCCCCGCCTCACCTCCCTCCTTCCACTCCAGCCGCCCCCTGGCTCCCCCAAGCCCACTAACGACCCTCTACAGGCGCCCCCTCCTTTCTCCACGTTCACAGTTCCCTCTCACACGTCCCCCCTCCGCTTCTGTAGACACCCCCAGTTCTCAGTTCTAATCCCGGTTAACCCTTCACTACTCAGGGGGTCCCGTTAACCCTTTGTCCCCATTCCCAACTTCTGTCTTAATTCTTTTCACAGCATCAGGAAACCCCTGGTTCCCAAGTACTTTAACCGTTTTCTTCCTCCCCCTCCTGCAAATTAAAATTACTTCGTCCCCCGTGCTCGGAGCTTTCCCGGCCGGCCCGGTCCTCCTGAGGCCCAGAGCATACCAGTACTTGACGATAGCGGTAACCTGGAGCGGGTTCGGCTGGTCAGGGTAAAGGCGGCGGCACTCTCCGTAGATGGCGTGCAGTCCCGGGGGAAAGAGTGAGGCAAAGGCCGGAGGAGCACTAGGGCCAGAGGCTGGGGGCGCGGCGGGGCCGGGGGCGACGCTAGGCCGCAGCTCCGCCATCAGGGCGCGTAGGGCGCGCGGGGAGCCTGGGAGTGGAGAGGAGGAAGAGCGCCCCGATGGGCCAGCAGACCCACTGTCGATGAGACTCCCCGAGGCGATGGGGGCAACAGCGAGGTCTGACTCCGCGCCTGCGCACGGCTCCTCGGTCCGCCCCAGCCAGAGCCTTCAAGGAGTCGGCCGGAGGATGCTGTGGGACCGCGGGGATCTCCAGGGGGCGGGGCGTCGGCGTGCCCTTGGCTAGCACCCATTGGCTGGTGTCCTTGCCAGTCACAAGAGGGGTAGGCGTGACTTGACAATAGGCCCCGCCCCCTGCCCCCGTTGGGGAACGTCCCAAGGATCTTGGCCTCCCCCTAGTGTTAGGAGGAACCCAGGTTTAAACAGAGACTCGGTACTGAGAGGCGCTAGGGTCCTGTGAAAGCTCCAAGACGCGCCTACCAAGCGCTTAACACTGTTTTGCGATACACGACTTTAAGATGAGCCTGGCAACTGATGAATCCATTAGGGTGTGTGTCATTATTATTAATATATTACAACTCTTTAATACTTCTTGGTGCTGCTGACAAAAAGGTCCTGCAATTCGAAAAGTTCCCCGGGGAAAATGCCCGGCTGTTTTGAGATCATTTACGTAATCTTTCTCTTCACCTGGATATTCTCATCCATCAATGTCAGGCTCGAGATACTACAGCCGTTTCTAAACCATTAGATGATATTTTAGACCAATAGTTCCATTGCATCTAACTACAGATATTTACCTTTGTTGGCTTTTGCTTCATTGGTTTTTGTTTGTTGTTGTTTTGTTTTTCCCAGACAGGGTTTCTCTGTATAGCCCTTATTGTCCTGGAACTCACTCTGTAGACCAGGCTGGCCTTGAACTCAGATATCCGGCTACCTCTGCCTCCTGAGTGGTGGGGTAAAAACAAGGTGTGCACCATCCCACACTGCTGCGGCTCCTGTCTGTGCTGGGCAAGCATTCTACCACTGAGCGACATTCCAGTCCCACAGACGTTTGCTAATGGTTTACATTGTTCAAATGAAGAAACGGCCGAGTAGCGAGAGTAACATGTAAAATTCAGCCGCCCCTGAACTACTGACAAATCCCATCCCAACTACTCACAAGCATTCCAGACTCCAACATTTAAGAGTGTATACAGAACCCCTTCCAAGGGACTACAAATCCAGGCATGCAACATAATCATGATCTACCGAGACTACAAGCCCCATGGCACCACATGTCGGGAATACACTGTCCAATTTTCTAAACCCGGGGCGGGGGGGGGGGGGGGCTGGGACTCGGTTTGGGGGCCCCGCAAACCCTAGGGCAAAGGATGCTGGGGATTGTAGTTTTTCCGAGGCGAGGTCGGGCCGCTCCCTGGATGCCAGTACCGGCGACTAGACTGCGCATGCGTGTCAGTGCCGTTTGCAGCGGACCGGGCCGGCAGTTCCTTCCTCGGAAGGAAAGATTCCTCTGCCATGGAGTCCTACGATGTGATCGCCAACCAGCCTGTTGTGATCGACAACGTGAGTAACATCTTTCCCATCTCAAAAGGGACTGTGCTTTCCTCCAGAAAGGATCGTTTCCGAGATTCCAGCCTAGGCCGCCAGCTCTTTGTCACTGGTCCGGCCTGTCAGGCGGGTTCAGCTGCCGCCGCCCGCGTCCTTCCCACAGTCATAGTTTGCAGGCAGGCCGCCCAGCCAGCACCCGGGTGTTGAAGAACTTGAGGGTAAACAAAGGGAAGAGCTGTAGTCCGAGAGGGGCCCTTGCACCCTCGGCTCAAGGGGCCTTAACCGTTCTCTTAGAGCCTGGCACACGCCCTCGCTCTGCTTTCCCATCACTCCATTGGCTGCTTTTGTTGTCTATCTTGGCCTATTGGCCCCGCCTTTGGGCCTTGCCGGATTAGAACAGAACTCTGCGGTTATTGGCTTCGGCGCTTGTCGCTCTTGTGGCCGCCACAGCGTTTTCCTTATATACAAGGGGCGGTGCAGCGCACCAGGGCTGTCGGGATTGGCTTAGCGCGCTCAAGGTGCGGAAGGCTTTAGCTTGTCGGTCGGTGAAGGAGGACAGTTTCCTTGGGTGTGAGCCGGCGGGGCGGAATAGTAAACTGTATCTGGGTGGGGCCGGATAATCTGGTCCCAGAAATGGCCATGGGACTTCAGTCATTTTTGTGATTATAAATGATAGTAAAGGTAAAAAAGAAAGGAGGGTGAACAAAGCAGGCGAGATGCTTTCCTCTTTGCCCGGCTGAGAGGCAGGGAGATTATCAGACGCAGGGTTTGTCAGGTGCGCTAGCGTGTCGAGGCCACTTCTCACCAACATGCAAGTTGAAGCCTCACAAAAAGTGAATGGTTAAGAAGGAACTTGCTCCTCCCTTCACAGACGGAAACCGAAGGTGGAAGTGATCAAGGTCATACAGCGGTGGCATCCCATAGGTCCTTTGCCTTATCTAAATAGCATTCCTTTGCTGACCACCCCTCCACAAACGCATCGGTAGCTACAAATAGAAGGAACCTAAATATTGCTTTTATGAGGCGGGACAGTTGTCTTCAGTTTCTGTATCTCTCTCACAGGTTTGGTCCCACCGATGCTGGTTGGAATCTTCCTGTGCTCTTTCAAGGTCCCTCCACTGAGGCAAATACCAGCTCCCTCTGCCCTAGGTTGACCTTTTCAGAGCAATGTGATGCTCCAGGCCTTAGGGCCTGGGCATGCCACTAAGTTCTCCTATTGCATCGTGGGTGGATGGAGATTGTTCTCCCCAGTTTATGCAGGAACATGAGGCTTGGAGAGGTTTTTCAAACCACCCACTTTTGGAATTGAGGATCTAAGACTCACACCGAAATCTGGTTCCAAGTTCCTCAGCCTTTCAAGGAAGGCTGCTTTATTGGCTATAAACAGCCTTTTTAAAAAAAAGATTTATTTATTTATTATGTATACAGTGTTCTGCCTTCATGTACCGCTGCATGCCAGAAAACGGTACCAGATCTTATAGATGGTTGTGAGCCACCTTGTGATTGCTGGGAATTGAACTCAGGATCGGCTGCCCTTAACCTCTGAGCCATCTCTCCAGCCCTGGAAACTGCTTTTTTAAGAGGGGAGGTTAAGGCTGGGGATGTAGTCCATGTCATAGTACTTGTCTGACATGCATAAATCCTAGGCTCCAGTGCTGGCGCAGCATAGACCTGGTGTATAAATCAGATGTGCTCCCTGTCTGTAACCCCAGCAACAGGGGGATGGACCCAGGAGAATCAGAAATGCAAGGTCATCCTCTGAAGCCAGCCTCTAAGACTTGAGACCCGGTTTGTTTCTTGGGGTCAGGGGATGGAAGTAAGGTTAACTAAATGAGACACCGTATTTTGAGGGTTTTGGTTTTTTCTTCCTCACTAGACTTTTTAAACCTTGTGGGGAGGAGAGTGAGATCTTTCATTCATTTTTGATTAGTCCTCTACCTATATCCTGACTCTACACAGTTCCCAAGGCTTCCATATGCTCTGCTGCACTCTCTTTCACTCTGTTTTTTTTTTGTTTGTTTGTTTTTGTTTGTTTGTTTGTTTTGTATGTGTGTGTACCTTTGGAGGCCAGAAAAGGGTGTTAAATTTCATAGAGCTAGAGCTACAGGGTTATGAACTATCCCACATGGATGTACAGGGAGCAATCCAAACTCTGTCCTCCCAAAGGACAGCAGCTAGTGCTCTTAACTAATGAGCCATCTCCCCAGCCCACCACTTCTCTCTACTCAGTACCTAGCACCTGGTACCACTATGTACAAAATCAAGCCTTTTTAGTGAATAATTAAATGATCTCTGTTGTGATCACAAAAATGTCCGGGGGGTGGGGGAGACCCAACCAAAATGAGGGGTTTCTGCTACATAATGCTGTAAATGGCCGAATTATACTTCTTTGGTTTGAAACAGGGTCTTGTGTAACTTCTTGTTCTCAATGTTGAGATCCAGAGAATACTACTACTTGTGTCTTTAGCCGGTTCCTGTGTTGGGTCTACCTTTTTCTTGGTCGTTGGAAGAACAAAAGTGCCTAGAAATGATCCGTCTCTGGCTAGAGAAATGGCTCAGTGGTTAAGAGTGTGAGGCACTCTTGCAGAGGATTCTTAGCACCCGTGTGGGCAGCTTCCAATCTGATGCTCCAACTCCAGAGCCGCAGACTCCCTCTTTGGCCTCCGGGGCACTTACACTCTCGCATACACAGACCCACAACACAAGACATAATTAAAATAAAAGTTAAAAAAGAAAGAATTATCAGTTGTATTTTGGCACTAACAGTGCAGGTACAGTCTGTCCATCCCACCTAGCTCTTACCTTGGACCCCTGGAGCTGGAGTTACAGGTGGTGGTGAGCCTCTCGGAATGGATGTTAGGAACCAGACTCCAGGCCTCCAGAAGGACAGCACGTACTCCTAACAGACGTGCTACTCTTCAGCCCCCTTGTTCCTTTTTTTCTTTTTTGAAATTTAAATACATCTCAAATTTTATTTTGTGTACCATGTGCAGACAATGCCTAAGGAAGCCAGAAGAGGGCATCAGATGCTCTGGAGCTGGAGTTACAGACAGTTGTGAACTTCTGAGTTGATGCTTGGGAATCAAACCAGTGCCCTGTGGATAAGCAACAAGTGCACTTAATTGATGAGCCATCTCTCCAGCCCTTGTGTCTTTTCTTAAAAAGACTGTCAGAATGTAGCTCTGGCTACCCTGGAGACAAAACTCAACTCATTGTGTAGACAAAACTCAACTCAGGGTCCTCTTGCGTCTTTGCTTCCTGAGAGCTGAGATTGCAGTGTGTACCACCATATCCAGCTGGTTTTCTGATTTTTCTGGAAAAATAGGAAAATAATTTCATATGCAGTCTTACATTTGTAACTGTTGCCAGTTAATATAAAAATTTGTTGTGATTTACAAAAACAAGTAGGTTGGTAGTTGCATAATGCTAGAAGAATGGATGCAGCTTTTTTTTTTTTTTTTTTTTGAGTTGAGTGATTAAAAAGTTCTTCAATTAATTGCAAGTTTGTGGCTAACCTTGGCTGTATGGTTAAACCATGGTTACATACAATTCTAACTATTTAAAAAACTGAATTGTACTATACCTTGAATTAGTAAATTATATATGACATGTAAATTTTATCTCAATAAGTTTTTTGTCTTTCTTTAAAGTACTTTCTGGAC